AAGCTCTTTCTTTTTAAAAATAAACTTTAGTTTTTAAGAAGTTTCTTTTTATTTCTTTTCTCTTTTACACTCTCTATAACAGTTGTTATAAGTTGTTGCTTACGTAATAAAATTTTTAAAAGTAGTTAGTTTTTTACTATGTATAAATTTATCTTTTACTACTTTACTTAGTCTGTTATAGAACATGTAGTAGAGGGCTTTCTAGTCTGTCTATCTACAGATAGCTAGCTATTCCCTAAAGTGTGCTGTATAATTCTAGACTAGGCTAGTTCCTTATTTTATAGCATTTAACTTATTAGCTGTAATTTTCTTTTTATTAAAAGTTTTATAAATAGCTGTTAGAGCTTCTTTAAAGTTTTTAATGCTACTAAATACTTCTTTAGTTTTAGAAGTAAGTGCTTTACTATTTACCTTAAAGTTTATCTAGTTGTCTGCATAAGGTTAGAACTAAATTACAGAGGGGCCTTCTAGGTGTAGTTCTATCTAGAATATTATTTCTATGTTAGTCTAAAATGCTTCTTTATTATATTATATATAAAGGTAACATTTTGTAAAGAATAGTTAAAAGTCCTTTAATAATTTTTTAAAAGGCTTTAAAAAGGCTAGTTTTAAAGTCTTTTTAGCTATAATACTTACTTTTTTTATTAAGATGTTTTAGATTTTTACTAACTGTACTTATAGTTTATGTATTTAATAGGCTTAATTAGTAGTTTCCTAGAGGCTTAAGAGTCTAAGAAAGTTTTATAATTCTACTACTTTTTAGTAAAGGTTAGTAATCTTTTATTTAAGTTTTAGTAGCTTACTAACCTTATTACTAATCTACTAGAGTTCCTTAATGTTGTCTTAGATTATATTAATCTGTTCTGCTAGAACAGCTTTACTTTAGGTAGGAACTTCTGTAGATCCTAATAGCGCAGTATAGGCTATGTTAGAATCTAAATTATGTTATAAGTTATTTATACTTTTTAAAGGGGGAGTAGTGTTTAATGTTATAATCCTTGCTTTAGGAAGCACTTAGGTCTAGGGATATTCCTAGGGGGGAAGTAGGACAGGTGGTAGGGGCCAACTAGTAGGGTGTACAGTCCTACGTACAGGCTATTAGGCTAATAGAGGAGGATAGGGAGACTAGATTGTGGTTTGCCCTTAATGCAGCAGTAGGGAGGCCAGGTTAAACAGTCCTAATAGACAGAGTTAGAGGTATATATAGTGCAAGATATATAAATAGTATTACAGCTCTTTAGAAAGCTAAATGCTACTTAGTCTATATAAAAAATAAACTAAATATTAAACACACCTTCTAAAAGTTATTTAATATAGGAACTATATACATGTGCTAGGTGCGCTAAGACAAGCTTAAGCAAGTTCCCTAAGTTTAGCTATACTAGCTGTGCTGCTAACTCCTTTAAGCTTGCTAAACTTGCTAAGGCTTACTCTAAGACTTGCGTTCTGCCTTCTTATTAGATGACGCATTCTTCTGTTATTGCGGGCAGCTGCGCTGCCCCCGTGTCCTCTGACTGGTCGATAAGCGAGCCCTGTCCCAACTCAGCTAGATTGTGGAGCACTGCTGGTGGAGTTACGCTGGTCCAACCGTAGACCGTAACATGTTGCTATAGTTTAACTTTAAATCTAGTAGGTTTTTAGCTTTAAGTTTTATAAAAAAAAGTTTAGCTATTAAAGTTAGTAGTTATTTAGCTCTAGTAGTAGGCATCTTATCTTAGCTGCAGCTAGAGCGTGTTGTAAACTTTATACTAAGGTCTAAAAGTAGTTAAAAGTTAGGTATTAGTAGTTATCTCTAATTTTAATAAGTTATTAGTAGTTCTTATATTTCTATCTTAGCGCACTCTTTATAAATTTTTTAAAAGTAATTTTAATTATAAAGAATAAAAAGTTCTAAACTTAAAGGCTTTAGTTAATAAAAAGTTTCTAAAATTTTATTTATAATAACTAAATAATTTAATATAATAGTGTGTAAAAATTATAACTTAAACTAAATTAAACACTTCTTAGACTTAGATTGTAACAGCACAGGCAAGACAATGGGTCCGAATGCGGTGGGAATCCACTCAGAGGCATATGGGAGTGCGTGGGGACTTAGAACCTGGGAATTTCCATTAACACCTATAGGCCTTGTACAAAGGATATCAGAAAACTACTAAGCTAGCTACAGGGGAGAGGTGCGACTAAATACATGAGGGAATAGAGGTAACAGCAGGGGTCAGGGCAGAGTCGGGGCCAGGTTGAGTCAGGGTCGGGGCCGATACGAGGGCCTTCCGGAGGTTCTGGGCCGCCCGAGATGGAACGATTCGTGAGACTCGTTACATAGATACAGTTAAATAAATAATTAATGTAATATTATAATAAAGCTATTACTAGCAAATGTAAGTTTTCTAATATAATGTAATAGCGTAGGCAAGATAATAGATCTAAATGCAGTATAAATCTACTTAGATGCATATAAAAGTGTGTAGAGACTTAATAACCTAGGAATATTATTAATACCTATAGGCCTTGTATAAAAGGATATTAGAAAACTATTAAGCTAGCTACAGGGGAGAGGTGCAACTAAATACTTAGAGGAATAGGGGAATAGAGGGAACAGCAGAAGGCAAGGCAGGGTCGGAGCTAGGTTAGGGTCGGAGTCGAGTCAGGGTCGGGACCGATACAGGGGCTCTTCGGATAGGTTCCGGGCAACCCGAGATGTAACAATTCTCATGACATAAGGCTAAGAATATATATCTACTCTACTTTAATTATAGCCTTTGCTATAATTTAAGCTAGAGTAATTACTAAGACTTAAACTCTTTGTAACAAGGTAGGCACAGTTAACTACGTGGCCTTCTCTCGCTTATAGAGGTTTAGGCTAGACTAGACACAACTGCTAGTGCTAGTGCTAGCTCTAGCATTATCTATATATATATATTATACTATGCGAGAATACTTAGCTTAAGTATTCTCGTGCGTACCTTTTAGTACAGTAGGGAAAGTTGTATAGTATCGGCTTGGCAGGCAGAGTGCCTACCTTATTACACTCTTAACCTTTAAGTAGCTTAAGTATTTTGTAACAAAGTAGACGCTCTGCTTATAAAATTAATACTATATAACTTTTCCTACTATACTAAAAGGCACATATAAAAATACTTAAGCTAAGTATTTCTTGCATAGGATAATATATATAGATAATACTAGGGCTAGCACTAGGACTAGCGGTTGCCTCTAGTCTCGCCTAAACCTCTATAAGCGAGAGAAGACCACGTGGTTAACCGTGCCTACCTTGTTACAAGATATAGGTTCGCTAGGTAACTTTAAATGGAACGATTTGTAACGGCACAGGCAAGACAATGGGTTCGAATGCGGTGGGAATCCACTCAGAGGCATATGGGAGTGCGTGGGGACTCAGAACCTGGGAATGCCATTGACACCTATAGGCCTTGTACGGAGGATATCAGAAAACTACCGAGCTAGCTACGGGGGCAAGGTGCGACTAAATACATGAAGGAATAGGGGTAACAGCAGGGGTCAGGGCCAGGTCGGGGTCGGGGCCGATACGGGGGCCTTCCGGGCCATCCGAGATGGAACGATTCATGAGGATCGTTACACGATTCAAGCGAATTGTTACAACTTACTTATATGCACAGCTTGCTTATAAAGTACGGTATTAGCTTACTTTATATGTTATACTATTTCTACAACTAGTAAAATAAAAGCATCTGCTCAACTAGTGCTATACATACTTGTATGCTCTAGCTAGTTAAAACTATAATCCTTATTTAAGCGAAGTGCTACATAACAAATCTATTAATAAAGTTAATTAATTTGTTAACGTACTTCACAGGCAAGTTGCTCACACACTTAAGTTGCTTACTTTTACTAAGACCCTACTAAACTACTCTTTTTATACTAATGCATTCTCTATAACACTACTTAGATGTGCTAAAAGAATGTTAGATATAGCTTATACTCTAAGCTTTTAAATAAAATATAAAACTTTTAAAGAAATGTACTATAGCTATATATAAAGTCTTATAAAAGATAATAAATAACTATAGTACTAGATAACCTTTATAAGCTAATTCTACAGCTAAATTATAAAAGCTAAGTAATAAAAAAAAGTAGGTAATTATTAAGACTATACTTAAGCTATACGCGTAAGGAATCTCCTCTTAGATAGTATTTATAGCTAATATAGCTAATTTTTTACACGCTAAGCATAATCTAGGCTATGTTTATATAAACTAGCCTAGTATGTTTATAAAGTGTTATTTAAAGCTTAAAGTAAAGTTTTAAGCATAAGTATAGTTAAAAAATATTTAGCTAATTATAAACTCTATTTTACTAAAGTTATACATGTTATTATTTTAAATACTATACTTAGCTTTAATATTCTTTATAAGGCTAAACCTACTTTAAATTACTTTAAAACTCTTATAAAAAGCTTTTTTATAGTTATACTTATACTTAAATATTACTTTAAGCTTTAAATAATGCTTTATAAACATACTAGGCTAGTTTATGTAAACATAGCCTAGATTATGCTTAGTGTGTAAATAATTAGCTATATTAGCTATAAATGCTATCTAAGAGGAAATTTCTTACGCATATTACTTAAGTATAGTTTTAATAATTACCTACTTTTTTTATTACTTAGCCTTTATAATTTAGCTGTAAAATTAGCTTATAAAGGTTATTTAGTGCTATAGTTATTTATTATCTTTTATAAGACTTTATATATAGCTGTAGCATGTTTTTTTAAGAGTTTTATGTCTTATTTAAAAGCTTAAAGCATAAGCTATATCTAACATTCTTTTAGCGCGTCTAAGTAGTGTTGTGGGGAATGCATTAGTGTAAGAAGAGTAGTTTAGTAGGGTCTTAGCAAAAGTAAGCAACTTAGGTGTGTGAGCAACTCGCCTGTGAAGTATGTTACTCTTTAACTTAGTTTACTTGTGTTCTACACTTTGTACATGTTAGTAAAATAGATGCCTCTACCTAGTTTAGACCATACCCTTGTATACTCTGCTTACCTAAGACGGTAACGGATATCAGAAGAGTTACATAACACTGCTTGTGCATTGCTTTTCACAGCATTAGACTACGGTCAACCTAGTCGCTAACCTTCCAAAGTATGTTGAAAGGATACCTTGGGCTAGGCATATGTTATTTCCCGTCTTGGGTGCTGGCATGCAATAGTTGCAGCACAAGGAGCTCGAGTCAATTGAAGGGATCAAGATATCATTGAATCATATCAAGAATTGCCCTTCCAACACCATCGCTTGATGCCATGCTTGATGCAAGTATCTACTCCATGTTCCGCTTCCCTGTGCACTCTCTATTTGATATCTCCCATCTATTGTGTGTTTACTTCAGAGTCTGGCTCAACAGTCAAATGGTCGTTGGTCTCGAGCGTGTGGAGTCTGTCGGCGGGGAACTCGGCACTATAGTCCTTCCATTAGCATCGTACATCCTCCTTTGGTTCGGATGGGAGAGAGGTGTACGTGAATCCCTTAATCAGGGTGAACTCATTCGTAATTTTCCCGCCTTGGTCTGTGACTTGCTTCTTCGCCCTGTCTGGTCTATTAGCAGGGACAGCATTTGGCATACAATTAACAGGGGCCCGCACTTCTCTAGCTCAGAAGCTGAGGCTCCGGATTTGAGTGTAACCTAGGGTTGTTACTTGAGGTTTAGGGAATTTAGCTAAGCGGAGAGCTTACGTTGATGGCTGGCATAGCGGCTTGTGAAGGTCTTCGGTAGAAGTTGCAGAGTATTGAATGGAGTGTGAGAGGGAAGTGTGTTTTGTAAGGGGGGCGAGTCATGCGGATGCCTACGAGGGGTTTATATACGCGCGGACCATGTTATCTCGAAGAGGTTACGGCCTTGGTTCCGACACTGCACCGGCATCTGCATCTGACGATGACGTCCCCCTCCACGCGCGTCCTCCATGCCTGTCTCGGCTAAATCGCTTATCGATAAGAAATGTCTCCTGTCGGCAAGGTCTTGGCCTAGAAGTAGCTTCAAAATTTTAAATCGCGGATTTGAAGCTCCTGTTGCGACGAATTTAACCAGCTGGGACAGCCACCATGGCCGACGATCAAAGTAACAGGCCGCATAGGAAGATGAAGGAGAAGAAGCCGCATTCTGGAGGTGAGGGGAATCACGAAAATGGTGGGAGAGCGTGCGCTAATTGCAGTCGAGGTCCCAACCCGAAAGCTTTTGCCTTCGCGGCACCGGGAAAACTTCAGAAGCGGGCTGCGCGTTCTCACGATGTAAGGACTCCCAATCGGCTCTCAAATATGTATGTCTTACAATTACTGTCTAGGTCAAAGAAAAACGCCTGCACGTTCCCCTTGTCGACCGCCTCCCTGAAGATGCACCCCCGATCATTGTCGGCGTCGTTGGTCCACCCGGCGTTGGTAAAACCACTTTGATTAAGTCCCTCATTCGAAGATACACAAAGCAAACCCTCTCCGCACCCACCGGTCCTCTTACAGTCGTGACGTCTAAGCGACGGCGCCTGACGTTCATAGAATGCCCGGCCGATTCGCTAGCGAGCATGATCGATATCGCAAAAGTAGTGGACATCGTGCTGCTCATGATTGACGGGAACTATGGCTTTGAAATGGAGACTATGGAGTTTCTCAACCTGCTGTCGGCGAGTGGTATGCCAGGGAACGTTTTCGGTATACTTACACATTTGGATTTGTTTAAAAAACAGGAGACTCTGAAGTTACAGAAGAAGAGGCTGAAACATAGATTTTGGAGCGAGCTTTTCCAGGGCGCGAAGCTCTTTTATCTGTCTGGCGTGGTCAATGGCCGATACCCGGACAGGGAGGTTTTGAATATTTCCAGGTTCTTGTCTGTCATGAAGAATCCTAGGCCCTTAGTCTGGCGCAATTCGCATCCCTATTGCCTCGCAGATCGATTCTTGGATGTCACGCCGCCGACAGAAATTGAACAGAACCCCAAGTGCGATCGCACCATAGCATTGTACGGATATTTGCGGGGGACGAACTTCTCGGCTCAAAGGTCTCGAGTACACATACCGGGTGTTGGTGATCTTAGTGTTTCGAGTACGGAAGCCCTACCAGATCCATGTCCGACCCCCTACGTAGAACAAGCACTGGCAAAGGTTACCGGGAAAAAGAAACGAGCGAGGTTAGGCGAGAAACAGAAGATTTTGTTTGGGCCCATGTCAGATGTAGGAGGCGTACTGGTTGACAAGGATGCGGTATATATTGATGTCAAGACCTCAACTTTCAACCAAGACCAGGATTCCGGCCAGGAGCGGGGTTTAGGCGAGCACCTCATGGTAAGTCTGCAGGGTGGGAGGAGATTACTGGGGGAGGCTGATGCTGGTATGCGACTATTCAATGGTGGCGAGCTTGTTGATAAGACTATTGCCGAAGACGATGAAGATTCCGGGAGAAAGTCACATCGGCAAGCGAGAGTCGCAGGAGGGGAAGTAATAGACGATGCCGAACTGGAAGGGATTAGCAGCGATGACGAAGAGTTTGACCAAAACACGGCTAGCGAAGAAGACGGAGACGATGAGGACGGGTATCTGGAGACAAATGGGGCGACGAATGACAAACATACTTTCAAACGGCGGAGAGGTTCAGAAGCTAATGACGCATCTGGGGAAGATGTCGCGTTCGCAGACAGCGACTCTGATCTTGGCTCCATATCAAGCCAAGATCCAGAACCCGAAGATCCCAACGATGAAGATCTCGATTCTGACGAACAGGATGAGGATGAAGACGGAGAAGGCACTTTACGATGGAAATCTAATCTTCGCGAAAATGCTACGAAGATTCTCGGTCAGAAGAGGCCATATAGGACCACCGAACTTGCCCGTATGGTGTATAATCTTTCGCTAACACCGGCCGAAGTTATTAGGAAATGGCGAGGAGAGGAAGATGAGGAGGAAGAGTTCGATGATGATGAAAATGACTTCTTCCAGAGGTCGAAAGCGCAGGATGTTGCAAGTGACGAGGATCGCTATATGTCCAAGTTTAACTATGCCGCTTTGGAGGGAAAGTGGGGAAATGAAGAGAACATCAAGTTATTGAAGAAGCGCTTTGTTGGTGGCCATTTCATGGATAAAGACGTCGAGGACGACGAGGACGACAGCTTCGAGGGATTTAGTAAGGATGACGGGGATGGTGAATTCGAGGATTTAGAGACGGGAGAGTCATTCGGCCCAAAACAGCTGCACTCTCGGCCTGACGACACTAGGGCTCAAGAAGAAGAACGACTGCGAAATGCTCGAAGGAAAGAGGAGCTCAAACTCAGCTTTGAGGAGGAGGATAGAGAAGGCTTCGCGAATAATAAGGCCGGAGTAAGAAAGGAAACTGGGGAAGAGGAAGAGTTTGGCGAAGATGACTGGTATGACGCGCAAAAAGCGATGATCCAGAAGCAACTCAACATCAATCGCGCGGAATTCGATCAACTGGACGAGATGTCACGAGCCCGGGTCGAAGGCCATAAAGCAGGAACATACGCTCGTATCATCCTCGAACAAGTGCCATATGAGTTCTCCGCAAACTTTAACCCACGATATCCCATCCTGATTGGTGGTCTCACGCCAACTGAAGAACGTTTCGGGTTCGTCCAAGTCCGCATAAAGCGCCACCGCTGGCACAAGAAGATACTGAAGTCGAGCGATCCCCTTATCTTCTCTCTCGGCTGGCGAAGATTCCAAACTCTCCCTATGTACAGCATATCGGACTCCCGCACTCGGAACAGAATGCTGAAGTACACACCCGAGCACATGCACTGCTTCGGCACCTTCTACGGCCCACTCATCGCACCAAACACAGGCTTCTGCTGCGTGCAATCTCTCTCTAACAAGACCCCCGGGTTCCGTATTGCTGCGACCGGCGTCGTCCTCAACGTCGACGAATCTACCGAAATCGTAAAGAAACTCAAACTCACCGGCCACCCCTACAAGATCTTCAAAAATACGGCTTTCATTAAAGATATGTTCCAATCCACCCTTGAAATCGCGAAATTCGAGGGCGCCAGTATCCGCACCGTTTCGGGGATCCGAGGTCAGATCAAACGCGCGTTGAGTAAACCCGAAGGGAATTTCCGCGCGACGTTTGAGGATAAGATTTTGATGAGCGATATCGTGTTTCTGAGGGCTTGGTATGCGATTAAACCGCGCCGATTCTATAATCCAGTTACGAATTTACTGGAGAAGCCAGGGGAGGGTGACGACAGTGAGTCTACGGGCTGGAAGGGCATGAAATTGACAGGTCAAGTGCGATTTGAGCAAGGCATCGCAACGCCAAAGGTGTCAAACTCGGCGTATAGAAACATTAAACGTGAAACGAGACATTTTAATCCGCTCCGGGTCCCACGCAAACTTGCTGCAGACTTGCCGTTTAAGTCGCAGGTTGCGGCGATGAAACCACAAAAGAAGCAGACGTATCTGCAGAAGCGCGCAGTAGTGGTTACTGGGAAGGAGGAGAAAAGGGCCAGGCAGTTGATGAATCAGGTCATGGCGCTGAGAAATGAGAAGGTAGAGAAGAGGAGGAAGAAGCAGGAGGAGAGGAAGGAGCCGTATAAGAGGAAGGTAGAGGAGAACGAGGGGAAGAGGAGAGAGAGGGAGAAGAAGGAGAAGGATGAGTTTTGGAGGAGGGAGGGGAAAAAGAGAAAATTTCAGGGTGAGGGTGAGGGTGGGGATGGGAGTGGTGGAGGGAGAGGGGGAAAGAGGAAGAAGTAGTGCGGGAGGTCGTTCGAGTGGATGGTGTTTAGTTCAAAGGATTCTAGTTCCTATTTGTCTTAGCCCACGGGTTGTTTGCGCGGTAGGCATCTGGTGTTGAGGGCCAAGGAAAGCCTGCCTGACCATGTGCTTGCCACCTAAGTCCACAGCAAGAGCAGTTAGGATTGTGAAGTCGAACAATTTTCTAAAGTTTAGGTGGTAAATAGCGCGACTCTTATCAAAGGTATGTGTCAAGTACGTTAGTGATACCCTAGAAGGCTATGCAAGGGAGGGAGCGAGACGACGGATCGAGCTAAAACCGCATCTCTCTACATGCAACTCCTCCCTCTACAAAGCCAGATTCAGCGGCACTTCCTAGTAAAGATATCTCTTTTAGGAGAAACAGGTACTGCCCAGCAGGTGGCGGATACTACCGTCATGCGCAGCATTGCGTGCACCCTGATGATGCACCTCACACCGCCAAGCAGACAAATGTGTACAAGCGCATTGCGGAGAGCCCTGACATTGTGGAGAGAAATCTGGGGGATATCGATAAGTCTGTGGAGAAAGCCCTGAGCGCATGGTTGAAGTATATGCTGCGAAGTGACCTGTGCCACTTGATAGGGTCGGCCCGCAAACTCAAGCCTTAGAAGCGAAAGCCTTAGAAGCGAAAGCCACGAAGGAAGCGGAGGGCGACCACAGGAAACCATAGTGGACTGGCGACGAGTTTTGGTGTGATATAAAATTTTCTATGGGGTATCGATAAAGGGTAGCTAAGCGAAGGTTAAAGTGAATATGCTTACTGCATCTTATCTTGGTATGACTGAATGTGGAGCATGACCGTGGCAATTCAAGACTTAGTTTTGCATCCTGTTGAAGTTCTCGTGATTCCAGCAGGAGGTTTAAATAAATTAAATCTACCCTGTTAATTGTTCGTGATATGTGCTAACATCAAGGAGAAGAACGGCTTGCAAAGATTTGAGATGTGGCTAGGCCACGATAGGAAAGATGGGATGCTGGACAGGCCGACATGGCTTTTCCTGCAAGTCGCTCTCACCGCTGCACCTTGACGGGGGCAGGCTGGCTTCAAGCTTCGAAGCGCGAGCTCGGCGTTGACTCTTGGGGACCGACGATGAAAGGCTGTGTAATTTCGAAGAGTGCTAGTTTCAAATCTGATACTTCGGCTGGAAGCACAGCGAAAGTATCCGGAGGCAAAATTTGCGAGAACTGCTACGTCGGCAGGGCCGGCAGGTCAGAAAAGTACTTTCAGCGGAGTGCAGTCTGGAGTCTCCGCTGGCGTCCGCAGCGCCGGAGATCTCCCAGGTCGGGCTATTCTCGAAGGCTTGCAGAAGCCAAACAGGCAGTCGTGGCAGTGCTCTGCGCAAGGGATTGGCTCAAGTTTCTGGAGACCGCTGTGCGCATAATCAAACTCCCCCGAATTTAATGGTCCCGGGATTGGTGTCGAGAAAGCGGTCAGCACGTCTTGCGAATCTCAGAATGCCACAAATAGATTTGGTTTTGCAACGTGCTCTGTGTGTTTCGCCAGTCATTCACTCAGTGAAATTGCATGGTCTTAACTCTTCTAGGACTCGAGTGAGGGGGTCTACCGTCAAACTTGCTCTGTAGCGAGGCGTTATGACAAGAAGACTCAACGGCGAAGGCGAGGGTGAAATTGTGACCACAAGTGATGCGAGAGTGCTCTGAGGTTTGGCATGTTGGGCAAGAGTCGGCAAGCTAGGTGGTCCGTGCTATCTTAGCGTCCTACGGCCGGCTTACTCGCATCCCTGCCATTCACCCAAAATTTTTGTTCGCCTTTAAAAATCTACCGCCCCCCCGATTTCTTCCCTCCCACTCTCCTCTCACTTTTTCCTGCCTCTGGGCTCTTTCTTTCCTCTGTTTCTGTCATTGCCTCCGCATAGAACAGTCGCGAGTGGTTTTTCCGCGACCGCGAGCCTTCCAGATACCCAGATAGATTTTTCACTATCTTTCGTTTTCACAGGCCGAGGCCGTCGATTACGCCCTTTGACCGCCTTTCCTACCCCTCCCACTGCTTAAATTCACCCTTTGTCTCGTACAAAGTGTTTCTCCCTTCTCCCTTCTGCCTACTTTCCCACTTCAAAAATGGCCCCAGCAGCGACCGAAGCCGCTCCCCACAATGCCTCGACTGTGAAGTCGGAAAATTCGAAGTCGGTCAAGGTTCTCGAGGAGCTGGTCAAGAAATTGAACATCTCCAAGGGACAGGATGAGATCAATGCTGCATCTCTCGATCTGGCGACCTTCATCAACGGCGACATCGAGGAAGCCGATGCCCCCACCAAGTACGTTGAAATTTTCCAAAATTCGCCACGAACCAGATTTCTAAATAATTTACAGGGTCGTCGAGCTCCTAAAAAAGCAGTTGTCCAACAAGAAGGATGCTGTCGTCCGCGAGCGTGCCCTCGACGCCATCCGGGCCATCGCCCAGCACTCCACCGTCTCCCCGGCTGTCGAGCCTTATCTCGTTTCCCTCCTGCCGAACACGCTGGCCGCTGTCGGTGACAAGATGAGCGCCGTCAAGGTCGCTGCTCAGACTGCTTCTGAGGCTATTGTTGAGGCCGCGAACCCGAACGCCGTTAAGGCCATCATCCCCCCGATAATCCACTCTTTGAGGGGCGCTCAGAAGTGGCCTGAAAAGATGACAGACCTGAAGTGCATCGAGGTCCTCTGTAAGAGCGCTCCGGCCCAGCTTGCTTTCCGCGTCCCAGACCTAATCCCCGTTGTCTCTGAGGCTATGTGGGACACCAAGCCTGAAGTAAAAAAGACGGCTTATGGCACTATGGAGAAGCTCTGCGCTCTGATTTCCAACAAGGATATCGAGCGATTCATTCCAGAGCTGATCAAATGTATTGCGAAGCCGGAGAATGTTCCCGAGACAGTCCATCTTCTCGGTGCGACGACCTTTGTCACTGATGTCCACGAACCAACACTTGCTATCATGGTTCCCCTCCTTGAGCGTGGTCTTGTCGAGCGCGAGACTGCCATAAAGCGAAAGGCGGCCGTCATTGTCGACAACATGTGCAAACTCGTCGAGGACCCCCAGATCGTCGCATCGTTCTTGCCCAAACTCATGCCCGCTCTCGAGAAGAACTTCGATACCCTCGCTGATCCCGAAGCCCGTGAGAAGACCCGCCAGGGTCTTGATACTCTCATTCGCGTCGGCCATGTCAAGGATGGCATCATCCCCGAAATCTCTAAAGCTGGTGATATCTCCACGGTTTCCGGCATCTTCAAGCTAGTCGTGCCTCCCAAGTACAAAATCGACGAGAAATTCGAGCCCATTGTTAAGTATATTGGGGCTATCGGTGGTCAGCTCATTGACGAGAAGGATACTGAGTCGATCAGCTGGCAGGCAAACTGCGGCCCCTTCATCTCTGCTATCATAGGAGATGATGATGCCAAGGGCGTCGCTGACACTCTCCGAAAGCGATCTATGCCTGGTGCCGCTGAGGAGGATGAGGTCGAGGCGGACGAAGAGGAAGGCGAGGACCTCTGCAACTGCACTTTCAATTTGGCCTATGGTGCTAAGATTCTGTTGAATCAGACTCACCTCCGCCTGAAGCGTGGACAGCGTTACGGTCTCCTTGGTCCCAACGGTTCCGGAAAGACTACCCTGATGCGCGCCATCAACAATGAGCAAGTCGAGGGATTTCCCAAGCAGAGTGAGGTCAAGACCGTCTACGTTGAGCACGATCTTGACTCCGCCGACACTGAGCAGACTGTCATCGACTGGACGATGAAGAAATTGAACTCAGTCGGTATCGACAAGCCCAAGCCCGAGGTTGAGAACACCCTCGTCGAGTTCGGGTTCATGAAGGATCAGCTGGAGGGTCCCATCACTTCCCTCTCTGGTGGCTGGAAGATGAAGCTTGCACTCGCTCGTGCTGTGTTCGAGGCACCCGACATCCTCCTTCTTGACGAGCCGACCAACCACTTGGACGTCAAGAACGTTGCCTGGTTGGAAGACTACCTCATCAACTCTCCCTGCACATCTATCGTCATTTCCCACGACAGCAAGTTCCTGGACAACGTCATCCAGCACGTCATTCACTACGAGCGCTTCAAGCTGAAGAGGTATCGTGGTAACCTGAGCGCATTTGTCAAGCGTGTGCCATCCGCCCGCTCCTATCACGAGTTGTCTGCCTCCGACATGGAGTTCAAGTTTCCTGAGCCCGGCTTCCTCGAAGGTGTTAAAACCAAGGCCAAGGCTATTGTCCGTGTCACCAATATGAGCTTCCAGTACCCGGGAACCTCAAAACCTCAAATCTCAGACATCAGCTTCCAGTGCTCGCTTGGTTCTCGTATTGCTGTCATTGGTCCTAACGGTGCCGGCAAGTCTACCCTTGTAAATGTCCTGACTGGTGAACTCGTCCCTACTTCCGGCGAGCTCTACCAGCACGAGAATATCCGCATCGCATACATCAAGCAGCATGCCTTCGCCCATATCGATCACCATTTGGACAAGACACCCTCTGAGTACATCCAGTGGCGTTTCCAGACTGGTGAAGACCGTGAGACCATGGACCGTGCTAACAAGATCGTCACCGAGGAGGACGAGAAAGCTATGGACAAGATCTACAAAATCGAAGGATCCTCTCGTCGCGTCATTGGTATCCACTCTCGTAGGAAGTTCAAGAACTCCTATGAATACGAGTGCTCGTTCGCGCTAGGTGAGAATGTTGGACAGAAGAACGAAAAGTGGACGCCCATGATGACCGCCGACAATGCCTGGATTCCGCGAAGCGAGATTCTCTCTTCCCACTCCAAGATGGTTGCTGAGGTCGATCAGAAGGAGGCTCTCGCCAGCGGTCAGTTCCGACCTCTGGTCCGAAAGGAAATTGAGCAGCACTGCACCAATTTTGGTCTCGACGCTGAGTTGGTTTCCCACTCCCGCATGCGTGGTCTCTCTGGTGGTCAGCGTGTTAAGGTCGTCCTTGCTGCTTGCTCATGGCAGCGACCCCACTTGATCGTCCTTGACGAGCCGACCAACTATCTCGATCGGGATTCCCTTGGTGCGCTGTCGAAGGCTCTGAAGGCATTCGAAGGTGGTGTCATCATCATCACCCACTCTGCCGAGTTCACCAAGAACTTGACGGAGGAGGTCTGGGCGGTCATGGACGGCAAGATGACTCCTTCAGGCCACAACTGGGTCCAGGGTCAAGGCAGTGGTCCTCGTCTACAAGAGAAGGGCGACGAGGAGGAGAAGTTTGACGCCATGGGGTGAGTTCACTCCCTGAGCTGCTCCCTAATCTCATGTAGTAACATAGCTAATTTGGCCTATAGTAACAAGATCTCTGGCGGTAATAAAAAGAAGAAGCTGTCGTCGGCAGAGATGCGCAAGAAGAAGAAGGAACGCATGGCACGCCGCAAGCGTGGCGAGGAGGTATTCTCTGACGAGGACGACTAAACGGTGCAGATGCGATGATTCCCTTTAGTTTATGGTTCCACGATGCATTGTGCAGGCTCTGTCAGGATATCTAGATGCCCTTATGAAACTGTAATGGCTGTAGGTGAAGGTCATGGCTGGCGTCTGGGTACAACTAAAAGTCCATCAACGGGGCTGTCTGTTTGATTTCGTCTAGGAGAAGATAGACATAGATTTCGATACCACTTCATATATTGTTGCTTGGTGATTGTGCGTGTTTGTGCGGGCTTGTGCCACGGTTGATTTAGTCCTTAATCCTGCTGAAAGCATAAAACTACCAGCCTAGGCAGTTCCCGCAACCAAAAAATTTTGAGCATGTGACCATTGGCACCGCCGCTCAGACCATAATAAAAAGGGTCTACCAACCACGAGAGCTCTAAGGACCTTCAGGACATGCAGCCTCAACCATGGCCCAAGTTCAGAGGCCATTGATTATACAATCGCAATTTATTCGGCTCTGCTGCCCACGCAATGCTCGCAAGACACCTGCTTTCTCGCGCGCACGGCACCACCAACGTCTCCACACTTCAACAGTCACAGACAACGACATCGTCCGGCTCGCGAGTTTGCCGTTGCACCCGCTGACGCTGGCAGACCTTGTGAAGTAGGTTTTCACCGTGTGCGCAAGCCCATTGACCTCTGCTCACCCTTGCCCTGCGGCAATTTAGACACGGTCGCCCACCGCTCACGACGTCACAGTTGCTCACGTCCGCAAACTTCACACTCTCCATCCTCCCCGCTCGACTTGCGCACCGCATACAGTCCTTGCGAAACTTGCCATTCATAGTCGTCTCGAATCCGAACATAAGCAAGATCCACTCAAATTACATCCACAGTCTCTCCACGCTACTACCATGGGCGGAGCGGGAGATCACAACCGTAGAAGAGGAGGTCAAATTTACCGAAGTCATGGCCGATCTGGTTCAGACGCATAGCAACACGATAAGCATACTGGCAAGAGGCTTTCTGGAGGCCCGGAAGTACATCGGCCCGAAAGATGTCACAAGGTTCCTCGACGAGCACCTTCGAGCTAGGATTGGGACACGCCTGATTGCAGAACAGCACCTAGCCCTACACTTTTCGAGCCAACCGCATCATGATGTTATGCACGATACTGAAGAGGAGGATTCCAGCTTCATTGGCGTAATAGACACGAAGCTACGACCGGCGAAGATCGTCCAACACTGCGAAAATGTAGTAGGAGAGCTATGTGAGCTCAGATACGGCGTTCGGCCACACGTCGTCATCAACGGCGAACCCGATTACTCCTTCGCTCACGTGCCTGTTCACCTTGAATACATAATTACCGAACTCCTGAAGAATGCCTTCCGCGCAACAGTCGAAAGCGGTATGGAGCGTGAACCCATCGAAATTACCATTGCACCACTTCCCGAAGATTCCATCGAGAACAACGGAACCGGAAGCGGCGCTCAAGATGCGGCCAGGGATATTGATCAAGGAAATACAGATATTGCATCTCGAGTCTTCACCAGCAAACCTATATCCACATCACCTTCGTCTGATGAACAGATCCGTCCCCTCGCTCACTGCACCCCCGGCGTTACAATCCGGATCCGTGATCGTGGCGGTGGTATATCGCCTGACGTGTATCCACATATCTGGGATTACTCATTCACGACTTTCAACGAAGACCAGGTCTCGTCTACGCTTGCGGGAGGTTCTCCGTCTAAGAGCGGAAGCGGCATGGATGCGCTGAGTGCGATTTCTGGTGCGGGAGGTGACGGAGTGAATAGTTTGGCTGGCTTGGGTTATGGACTGCCGCTTGGAAGAGCCTATGCGGAGTATTTTGGAGGGGGGATAGCGGTGCAGAGTCTTTGGGGGTGGGGGACGGATGTCTATCTGAGTTTGAGGGGAGTGGGGAAGATTGATGATTAATGAATTGTGGAAAGAGGATAGAATGTTAGGTTATTAGACGTACTAAGGCCATTAGTTACTCCCTGGCGAAATTCACGTCATTAGTTTGGCCTAAGCATCTCGCACCTCTTGGTCCTCGGCAATACGTTTCTCCGCTATAATCCCAGCTATTCTAGATACGTCAGATCTCACCATCCCGAAGACCAACCCTAAAAGTTCCTTCACTATCCGCCGCTTATAATAACAATGGCACTCACGACTATATTCACTCTTTCCCTTCTGGCCACTATCAGCTCCTTTCTTCACCTTTTCCCACCTCCCTAAACCCTCATCATCATCATCATCATCATCATCATGGCAACAAAACAAACTGCTGTTCTCACCCTCAAAGGCGCCTGCACCGCCCTTACTGCCGCCGAACGGCGATCCCAAGAAATCGGCATCCCCATGAATATCGCAATCGTGGACTCCTCCTGCCACCTCCTCGCGTTCCAGCGCATGGAGGGCGCAAAACTAACGTCGATAAACATTGCGATTGACAAGGCGTTTACGGCAGCGGGCCATCGAGTGCCGACATCTGTCTACAGGGAAAGCGTCTGGCCGGGCGGAGCCGCATTTGGAATCTGGAATAGTAATGGTGGCAGGTTTATGACGATTGCGGGAGGCCTGCCAATTGTGAAGGACGGGGTTATAGTTGGGGCGATTGGATGCAGTACAGGGACCCCCCCGGAGGATGAGGATGTTGCGAGTGCAGGAAAGGCGGCAGTTGAGAAAGAGATTAGTGAAGAAGGAGGAGCAAAGGCGAAGTTGTGAAGGTGTGCTAGGCTGTAAAGGTTGCCTAGAGAGCTCCGAGATGCGGATACAGGGTACCGCAGATGTTAGAGGTGCTTTAATGCGCTATTCTTAGGGGCTTGCTGCTTCATCGATATTGCAACAAGACGCAATTGATCCTTGTCGCGTTAATATCTTCCACCGGATCTTATCGCGCTCGTCGACCCGCACTAAATATCTCAATGTTTGACGGTAATGATCATGATAAAACACTTTCCGAATCCGGCAAACACTAAAAAGATATGTTGAGGCGCAGCTGTATCCAATCAAGTTATTCTCAGCATGTCTTGCAATATCCGGTTCGGAAGGCATGCACTCAGGTGACATTGGAACGGCTTTCTGAAATATGAGCCGCAGCAGATTCAAAGACGTTGAAGCTATCGTTTCCTTGCGTACACGTGCAGAGCCGCATGTATACGACTATAGAGCATGGGATCTCCGAGCCTCCATCATCCTTGCCTTTGTCACCTGTCCATATTGGCTTGAAAATGCAGCTGAATCACACTAGCTTGCTGTGGCCTCACCACTGTTAGTGAAAGGTCTTTCGACTCTAAAAACAAAGTCCGCGTCAAGATTTGTAGAAGAGCATCCGTCACTATAGAATTTCTCCAACTCTCGATCTGTTTCTTAAACTGATCCAGGGTTTTAAAAGTCTAACCAATGAGTTGGCCCAGGCAAGCCTCGCTTGATGAATGGAACCCAGAGCCAAATGATCCTCCCTGGGCGCCGCACGGTGTGACAATCACTCCTAATTTCCACCAGTCCCAATTGGCCCCAGATCTGAAACGGACATAGCGCAAAACATCAAAACTAGCGTTTATTAAAGGTCCGTTTCATGTAACTCGCACCATGAAACGGACTTCGTCTACCAACAGATTCTCTTCTTGTAATTCAAGCTTCCTATCATGGTTGAACAGGAGGATTTTTAGCTCACTTGATCCTGCCAGTTTCCGCTTGCACAGCCATGATCAGGATTTGCGTCCGCTTTTAGGACACCCAGGCGAGAAACGATCGTGTTTGCGAGGTCCGTTTCACAATGCACAGTAACCCGAGATCCTACTCGTGATTAATTTGTATATCAAGGCTGCGATGGCTTCGCGATCATCTTTCGGGTTCATTAAGCCTCACCTTCCTTTTTCTTTAGTCATTCCTTTGTAGGTTTACATCATGCGCTCGTTTAGTTCTTGGTCTACTTTGGCTGTCGGGCTGCTGGCAGCCTTGGCCAGTGCCGCTCCTTCTTCTCCTTACAAATCCTCGATGTCGAAGAGGCAGGCCAGTGGGGACCACTTGGTTTTCTGCCACTTCATGGTGAGCTTGATATTACCATACTTCTGTTATTGAATTTCTAACTAGATCAGATGGGCATCGTTCCCAACCGCCAAAGCTCTGCGGATTACGACAGTGACATGCAGCGTGCAAAAGCCGCAGGTATCGACGCATTCGCGCTCAATATCGGCAAAGACGCATACGCAGAGCAGCAATTAGCATACGCCTACGAATCCGCCGAGAAGAACGATATGAAAGTCTTCATCTCCTTCGACTTCAACTGGTTCTCTCCCAGCAGCGATGCTTCCACCGTCGGTGGTATGATCAAGAACTTCGGTGGCAAGAAGTCCCAACTTATTGTCGACGGCAAAGTTTTCGTGTCCTCTTTCGCCGGTGATGGGCTCAACGTCGAGCAACTACGCCAGGCAGCCGGTGTAGACATCTACTTCGCGCCCAACTTCCATCCTGAGCAAACCGCAGACCCCTCCGCCATCGACGGCGCCCTGAACTGGATCGCCTGGGATAGCGATGGCAACAACAGAGCACCCAAACCCGGCGCCAACGTCACCGTCTCCCAAGGCGATGCCACATACACCAAGTGGCTCGGCCAAAAGGGATACATAGCACCTGTCTCTCCCTGGTTCTTCACGCACTTCGGGGCCGAGGTCAGCTACCCTAAGAACTGGGTTTTCCCTGGAGATCTTCTGTGGTATAACCGCTGGAATGAGATTCTCCAACTACAGCCGCGGTTTATTGAGATTATTACGTGGAATGATTACGGAGAGAGTCATTATGTGGGTCCACTTAGTAGCAAACATACCGACGATGGAAACAGCAAATGGGCTAACGATATGCCACATAACGGATGGCTGGACATGGCCAAGCCTTATATTCAAGCTTTCAAAGCTGGCGAGAACAGTCCTGCGAAGTACATCACTGAGGATCAGTTAGTATATTGGTATCGCCCCACGCTTAAGAGTCTGAATTGTGATAATACGGATACGACGGGGCAGCGACCAGATGGCGTCGATACAATGGAAGATGCGGTCTTTGTTGTTGCGTTGTTGACGGAGGATGGAAAGGTTACGGCTGTTTCAGGCAAGAACTCGAAGACTTTTGATGCCCCGGCTGGTGCAAGTGCGTGGAAAGTTGATATGGGGGTTGGACCGCAGAGTTTTAGTCTTGAGAGAGGGGGTCAGACAGTTATGAGTGAGACCAGTTTGAGGGAGGTTAAGGATCAATGTCCTTGTGGATGTACGTGTTAACCCTATTTACCCCATTTCCCTCTCATCCCTCTTTTCTACTCCCTCCACATACTTTCTACTTCCTATTATCTATAATGTGCTAATCGGCCAATAGTATACATATACAACGCTTACGTCGGCACGGTTCCTGCTGGCGAACCTGACGCCCTCGACAAAGACGGTCTTACTGCCCTAACCTCAGGCCTCAAAGTCTCGACCTGTGCCGCTACACCTTCTCTTACAGGCGCACCACCAAGACCCACGGCCAATACATCGGCACCCATAGCCACCAGCGCACCAGCCCCCGAAACCACTAATTCTCCTCCTCCTTCTCCTGCGACCAGCGCTAGTCCTAGCTCTGACGTATCCAGCATCCCAACTGGTACGGTTAGGATTGGGACTTCTGCCCCGGCTACTTCAGCTTCCGCGACTTCTGGGCCAGCTACCCCCACCATCGCATCTACAACAGTAGCTCAACAGCCCGAAAGCGGTGGAGGAGGCTGCACAGCAACGGTCACAGAGAGTAGTCAGGTTGCTCCGACTAATTGCTTGCAATCTGGGCAGGTATGGAAAGGACCGAATGCGGGACCTGATTGCTGTGATGGCGCGAGTCCGTGTTGTAAGCATTAAGTGTGACGAGTGCATCCGCAGAGCTTGATGGTCAAGTGATGCGTGGGAGTAGAGATGGACACGGATTGTGGGTGCAGCCGGGCTTTTACTTCTTGAGTGTATTATATAGTATTGAGATGTGACATAGTTTAAATGCATGTGTGGCTAGATTGTGGAGTTGTATGGGTGGATAAGTAGTGAGTGAAGTATCTGCCGGGTCATATACTAGAGAACTGATGACTTCATTGGTAGGGGGGATACGATTGGTTTATTAGGGAGGACAACCGAGCGTGTGATGTGATGTGAACACCAGTAATTATTCTCTACACCTACTCGTCTCTTGAAGCTATCATATAGATAATCGATACGGCCGAATCAACGAAGCCTGCAACGTATTTATGCAAAGGTTTTAGTCTAACAAATGAATTGCTCAAACGGTGTTAAAGGAGCACTTCGGCAGCGTGTCCAACTGCTAGTACACCTAATAGTAGAGTACTGCAGTACACTGGTTTTAATCACGTACATATGTACAGAGCATCTACTCAGTATGCTATACTAGATATAAGGCTTCTATACTAGCTGTTTACAGTAGTTGTGTAGAATTTCAGGTAGTTTTAGGTAGTTTAAAGGTAGGTTAAAGGTAGGTTACTAAGATCTAGAGGTTTTATGTTTAGATATTAATACAGAGAATGCTTTTAGTGCCTATTTTATTAGCAAAGAAATCTTTAAAAAAAAATAAGTAATTTAAAGCCTAGCATAGCTTTACAGAAAAGTAGAAAAGAATATATTACTTATAAAAACAATAATAATTCTTTTATAGTATTATTAAAATTTAAAAAAGTTATAGCTTTTATAGCTATTAAGAATAAAAATCTAGGACTTACTAACTATACACTTTTAAGTATAAGTATTAAAGTAGTCTAGCTACTAGAAACTAAGCTTATTTATTATCTAACTATTTTTAAAAACTATAATACCTTAGTTTTAAAGTATAAAGTGTTTTTTATAGTAAGTAATAAAGTAGTAGCTGCTTTTAACAATAATAAAAGGTAAAATAGCTTATTTTATAGTATTAATACCTTAGATAACTATTATCTATTTTAAATTACTTTATTAGACTAACTTTAACTATCTATATTACTTTAAAGCTATAATAACTATTGTTGCATTGCTAAAAGGTTAAACTTCTAGCTAACATAGTAGAAGAATATATATAGATGTTATAATCCTTGCTTGGCAGGGTCCTTTTCAGAAGCTGCAAGCACGCGGGCCGATGGTTAGGTTAAGAGATAGGGGTAGGAGAACCTGCGTTAGGTGTACAGTCCTTGGTATGGTTCGGGTATGGAGGAAATAGGACGGCCGGATCGTGGTTTAAGCTCTAACAGCGGTATAAGGCGCTTAGTCAAACAGTTCTTAGAACAGAAGAAGAGGTATATATAGTACAAGATATACAATAAGTATTACAACTTATTAAAAAGTTAGAATACTACTTAGTCTATAAAAATAAACTAAACTTTAATTAACTATACTTTTTAAAGATTAATTAACTAAGGTCTTCTATACACCTATGTTTATATAGTAATTACAGTCTTAGCTTACTAAAAGTTATAATTACTATAATTTACTATATAGTAATTACAGTCTTAGCTTGCTAAGTGTTGTAATTACTGTAATCTACTATGTACTAATTACAGCCTTAGCTTGCTAAGCGTTACACTTACTGTAATCTTTAATAAAGCTTTTTATTAAATAATATATTTATCTATAGCCTATTCTAAGAGGTTAGGCCTTACTAGAGCTATAGGGTCTTCTAATTCTTCCTATTTAAGCATAAAGAGGTTCTAAGCTTAGTCGTCTAAACAGTGGGGCTTGTTGTCAGGGTTCTGTCTAGTCTACTCGTGGACTATAACAATAGATAGATAATTGTATACAACACACACGCTCTAGTGTAGCCTCACCTAACCTGTTGGGGTCACATGACCTGCGCTTTGTATATAAGTATGAATTCTAACAAGCGAGGCTTAGCAGCAATTCGTCTCTCTTACAATACACTTCTATTTCTCTAAAATCTTACTCTTAGTGCTATCTATACTACCTACTGTTACGACCCACGATTGGACCGTAAGCAACCAGTCAGCCGTGCCCCACTGTTTGAACGATCAAGGATGGAAAGTCCTCGATTCCTTGCCCAACAAGTCACGTGACCTGACGGACGAGGAATGGACCAAGCTCCTGGACCAGTGCGCGGCGGAGTGTGTCATCTAATGAGCAAGGAACGTTTTCATGCAATGCATGCAATCCTATGTATATAGTTTAAGATCCTAACTTTACTTAGAAGCTGTAATTAACAGTTAGTTTATTCTTTACATAGACTAGGTGGCATTGCTACTTTTTAATAAGAAGTAATTTAATAGTATATCTTGCACTATATATACCTCCTCTCTTATTCCTACCTAGGAACTGTTTAACCTAAGCATCTTATACTACTGTTAAAGGGTAAACTATAATCAGCCGCACCTTCTAGTCCTAGTAACCTTGCCTTAACAGACTGTACACCCGTTTAAGACTAAGTTCTCTTCCCCTCCGCACTCCTAACTCTCTCCCTAGGCCCCGAGTGCTTCGGACACTATTTCTCTAAAGCAGAGATTGTAACACCTACTATACTATCTTTACACCCCTAGCTTAAGGAATATAAATGTAAGAGACATATCTAAACATAAAGTAGCCTCTATACTAGGCGTAATATACTAGAGTAACTAAAACCTTCTTAATAAGTGTAGGAATTAAACATAGTGTGTTAAAAATAATACGTTTCTATTAGTAAAATAAAAGTGCAAAAATTCTTACACGCTAACTATCTACACTACACTACATAAACTAAGCTTATAAATATTATATTACTAAAAGAATAACCTTCTAGCTAGTACAGCAGAAGAATATATATAGGTGGATAATTATATACAACAACTACTTTAGTTAATATTTAACTTATTGTAAAGCTTATTTTATTAAAGTTATATATGTTTTTATTTAAAATACTATACTTAGCTTTTATATTAGCTACTAGCTAAAACAAGTTTTAAATAACTTTTAGGTTTTTATAAAAAGTTTTTATATAATTACACTTAACATACACTATAGGCAAGTTACTTCTATACCTAAGTTGCCTACTTTTACTAAAACTCTACTAAACTACTTTTCTTACACTAATGTATTTCTAAAAACACTACTTAAATATGCTAAAAGAATATTAGATACAGCTTACACTTTAGGCTTTTAAATAAAACATAACACTTTTAAAGTAATATGCTATAGCTATGTATAAAGTTTTTAAAAAAAATAATAAATAACTAACATACTAAATAACTTTTATAAGCTAATTTAATAGCTAACTTATAAAAGCTAAATAATAATAAAAAGTAAGTAATTATTAAGCATATACTTAAGCTATATATATATATATAAAGATTTTTCTTTTAGCTAGTAACTATAGCTAATATAGCTAATTCTTTACACGCTAAGCATAATCTAGGCTATATTAGCATAAACTAGCTTAGTATGTTTATAAAGTGTTATTTAAAGCTTAAAGTAAAGTTTTAAGTGTAAGTATAGTTAGTAAATATCTAGTTTATTATAAAGCTTATTTTATTAAATGTTGAATAGACTCTCTGCTAGCTAGCACTTAGTGTCAGCAAATGCGTACAAGACAGAGAGGTTTGCACGGTGTAAACATCGCACAGGGGTGTTAGGTAACTAGTGTTAATTCTTCTTATTTTTCCTCTATACAGAGGAAAAGGGGGATATCTAGATGTTCGCGCACAGAGGTTCGCGCACAAGCATTATGTGACATAGATACGTGATCCTGCTTGTGCGTAATCGCTTATATCTAGGCCGCGACGCTGCTGCTGCGTATAGACACTAGCAACTTTTCTTTTTATTTAAAGAGTTACTTTTTATACATGTTACCTCCTTTTTATTTATGTAAGTCTATTTAATTATGTTTTACTTTTACTTTACTTTATTTATTAGAACTTGCCTTAGTAATGCTATGTGTTAGAATAGGCTAGTTATACTATATAAATAGCTTTTTTTTTTTTTATTTTTTACTTTTTAAGCCTTACTATATAATCCTCTAGCTTTTTTCTCTTTTTATATAGTGCTAATAGTAACAGATCCTTATAATAAAAAAATAAGTATGTATAATATAAAAAAAAATAAAATAAAAAAAATAAGCCTTATATAAAGGCGTTATTAGTCTAGTTAGTCTAAGGCATTTTTGCGCATAAAATCTAGCTAGTCTACAGATGCTTCTATCTAGACAGAGAGGCAGTTAGTTAGAACTAATAATTAAAAAGCTTAGTTTAGTGTTTTTTTTATATATATATTTACTAAGTTGTTTTTATTATTAATCTACTTTATTTTAGTAATTTTCTTTTTCTTATATAATTTATAAAGTAACATAATATTAATTATAAGTTACTTTTTACTAGTAGTGCCTAGCTTAATAAGGTAATTATATAAAAACCTTAAATTTATGTAGATTACTACTAGAATTAGTAGTAGTTTAAGTGTTTATATAATTTACTATAAAGTTATACTAAGTGTAATTACATTATTAAACTTTTTAACTATTCTATATAGTTTACTAGTAAGGACACTTTTAGTTACTTTTTTACACTTAGTAGAATTCTAGTGTATAATGTTGCTTAGTATTTTAAAGTAGTTACTTTACTTTATATAGTTTTTATTACTTAATATAATTAAGAATTCTAGCTATAAGCTAAGGTTTTTATTATTAGTAAATAATTTATTTATAAAAATAAACAGCTTTACATAATTAAGCTATAATAGTAAAAAAGTAAGACTATACTTACTATTATCTATCTACTATTAAATTTATGTGTTAAGTGTGTTAATGTTATTATGCAAAGAGTCTATAGTTTATGTAGTAATAGATAAGTTAAATGCTGCTTTTAGTTAACATATAAATGTAATATATACTTCTCTTACACATTACTTAATATATTATTATGCAGCATTTTTGTTTTTTAAGTTAATTATATAAAGGTAGCTTACTTGTCTCTTTTAAGTAAGAACTATTATGTTATGTGTAAGTTTAATCTTTTTACTATTAAACTTAATAAGCTGCTTTTTTACTAAAATAGTTTTACTTTTTATATAAAACTTTACTTTTTATAGTTTTTTTTTTTTTTTTGCATAAAATTTTTTATTATAATGCTTAAAGTGTTGTCTATTTATAAGCTAGTAATACTAAAGGTGTGCTCTTCTTTATTAGTAATTAAAAAGTAGGGG